AGACAGAGGTGCTGACGCCTGACTCCAGATGTCGGTCCTTACTGGAGTCGGCAGAGCAGCATCTGGCTTCAGCATCAGAGGCTGATGAGTCCAACCTGGACGATGATAATGCAGGAGTTCATGACGACACAGAGTCTCTCACCAAGGATGTGGAGGAGATGGCCAGGATCTCTGCCAGCCTGTCCGAGAAGAACCGCCAGATGAGGACAGACTTCCTGGAGAAGTTAGAGAAGATCAACCAAGAAGGGTGTGACGACATTGTGTTTCAACCTAAAACAAGGAAGAAGAAGAAAAAGACAAAGCAAGGTTGTTGATTGTATTGTTGATTGTTGTGTGTAATACATGTTAGCATTGGCTTCAATTTCAGGAGACAGGCTAGAAATTTTGTATACATGTAGATGGTTCTGCTATGACATTGTAAACAACTGCAGCAATGACAATAGTTTTCCTGACAATCATTTTCTGTAAACGGTACTGTTGTGGGGGAATGTCTTGACACAGATGTTAATTGTATTGAAATGAACAATGCTAATTGTATTGAAATGAATGTGTTTGTCCTTAGGCAAGGCTCAGAGAGACCTGAACACCCTGAGTGAGAGCCAGTCTGAGCAGGACCTGTCCACAGTGCATCAGGACAAGCCTGGCCTGTACAAGTCCACCTACAGCCAGGACAGCTACTCTCCTCCAGGCAGCCCCACATCAACCAGGTTAGCAATGGTTTCTTTGTAGGTGTGCTATTCTATGCTGCTCTCATAAAAGTTTGGGTGAGGTGATGATAGATTTTCTAGCATTTTTCAAACCTTTGACTTTTTTCTTTTCTTTTTTTATATCCATCTTATATCTACAGATATACTTGTTTTTGCTCACTTTTTCATTGCATGATTCTATAGAACAGTTCTTTGGAATGACAAATGAAATTTCATGCAGATAAGAGAATTGTTGGCATGTTTCCTTGCAGGCCCCCTGGTGTGCGCCGTGAGGACACCCAGAGCTCTGTCTCATCTGCCGCAGAGGCCACTGAGGCTTACTTTGCTTCCAATGAGACCAGCATGACTGACCTGGACAAAGTACTGCACAGCTCCTCCTACTCCATCCAAGAGGCCAATGAGGATGCCCCAGCAGAGTCATGTGACTCCGAACCGACCAATCAGGCAGCAAATGTGGAGGTACTTGGGGATAAGGAAGAGAAGGAGGAGGAGAAGGAGAAGAGCAGTGAGAGCAGTGAGCAGACAACAGTACAAGACACAGTAACATCTCCAGCAGGGGAGGATGACAGTCTGAATGTCTATGTGGGCTCAGATGATTCTGCAGAGCCATATTTTAGCCACATGGAAAAGGACAACAGATACCCGGAGAGTGGCTCACAGGCTGAGATAGCTGATGGAGAGAGCACAGCTGGCAGCACAGACTTTGCCAAGATGCAGAAGGACAGGGCAAACAGCACAGTCAAGGTCATCAGAGAGGCAGGGGTCATGCCTCGAGGTGTGATGGCACAGAGTGAAGGAACTGATTTTTCCACTGATGATTTAGAGGACGTGGACATATATGGAACAGGAGTGGCTCGCTCTCCCTCCACCTTTTCAGACCTCAGTTCCAAAAGTAGTGTGACCACTCCGATGTCTGAAGGCTCAAGCTGGCAGGAGAATGATACAGAACCCCCCAGTCTACTCACAATGCCATCAGGGCAGCCCAAAGTGGCAGACAGCTGGATGCAGTACACGGTCCCAACTCAGATAACCTCGCTATCAGTGTCAGACAGACACATCTGGGTGGTGGATAACAGGGAGAGAATCTACTACAGTCCAATCATGGGAGCCAGTCTGTCCTGGAAGAAGTTGGAACAGCCTGGGAAGCTGATTTCTGTGTCGTCGACTGGAAATATTCTGTGGAGGGTTCACGGGAAGAACAACGTGGCATATGCCTGCGCAAAAACCACGCACAAGACGCCGTTTGGCTCCAGATGGTATGAAGCCGCCACAGACGTGCTGACTCTGTGTGTGGACAGCACAGCAGCCTGGGTCATCAGGAGTAACGGGCTGTTTGTACAGAAGAACCTGTCCCAGGACAGGCCCTGCAGTAAGATGGAGCGGGTGAGCGCCAGGAAGGACCTGGTGCAGGTGGCAGCCTGTAACCATGTGGTCTGGGTGCTGACCAATGAGGGGAAGGTTCTGGTGAGGACAGGAATCACACAGCAGCATCCTGAGGGGTCTGCGTGGATAGAAGACAAACAGAGGTGAGGGGATTGTCAAACATGTACATGTACATGTAGTCTTCTGGTATTGTTGTGCACCCACATCTTCTCATATTGCTTTCAACCACAAACACAATGTGTTTTGAGGCCACCTGTATATATCTCTTAACAGACAGATATCAATATAAAGGACAGTTTAAGGTTTAATTATAGCTTGAGCTGCCATACTGCACCGTTCTGCACCAGTGTTTATTGTCAGTCAACCTTAGTTCATGTATGTAGAATTCAAGGCAGTATGATTTGTTTTGATTTAGATTACATTCTAAATCTATACAATGTTTGTACACATGTATATGTTTCCTTCCTCCATCCAGTGAGCCTGATGCCATCTCCATCACCCAGCTAGCACTGGGAGATAAGAACCTGGCCTGGGCTGTGGATAACTTGGGACAAATGTGGTTCAGAACTGGTGTTACCATGGCAACACCAATGGGAGATGAGGGGAGATGGTGGCAGGTATGTTATGTGTCCAGAATACTCTTACCATGGCTAATACATGTACAATGTTTCTGCATGATCTTCAAATTTTTGTCTTTACTAGTAAGTATCCCAAATGAAAGTTCCACTTAAGCCTGATTTTGTTTTTTTTATATTGTCAGGAACATGATGACATTGTAATACTATATAATATCCCCCTCCCCAGGTGTCCATGAGTGAGTACCTCATCACAGACCCGTCCATGTTGGAGTCTGTCCTGTCCCTGGTGGAGACACACAACCCAGTAGTGGACAAGGTGTCTGCCTGGCTGAAGGGCCACACGGCTCACCTGGTGTCAGCCAACTCCTCAGGGGTGTGGGTCGCCGGCAGCAAGAACAACCTACATGTCTCCAGGGGCAACCTCACAGGTACAGGACCTCTACTGTCTGACATGTCTGGAAATGACAGAGGAGTGACAGAAAAAAGGAGACTCTGAGTACTAAGATGGTGTGCTTTCTAACCATAGTCATGGATTAAGCATGCAAACTTGTAACACTGTTTATTTCATGAAATGAGCAACTGTAAATGAAGAATATTAGATACTGCAATACACACCTCTTCTGTTGTGTACAGGCACCATGTGGCGTCCGGCCCCCCCTGTAGGCCTGCCGCAGTCGACCTGCTGGACAGTGGTGGCAGCTGGAGCCGGGGCTGCTCCTATTGGTGAGCTGGTTTGTACAGACAGATACAGTGTTAGATAGGTGTACACCTGTTAAGTTTTAGCGTAAGTGTATATTCTGAACTTTCTAGTGTATGCATTCTTTGTCACTCGTGGAATGAAGAAGTGGAAATGCAAGTGCTACCATATGTTGTAGAAATACTATTCATTGTCATCCAATCAGTTCAGAAGCTGAATATCTGTTCTACATCTCTGATATGTACTGTTTTCTCCAGGCCTTCTGTGGGCCCTCCAGAGGAATGGTGAGGTGTTCTGTTTCCCACCAGGCAGTCGTAAGCCCACCATGATCCGCCCCCCTCCCGACGTCTACCTGCAGTACATGAGTTCCAGTAAGGAGGCGGTGTGGGCCCTCAGTAACTCAGGGATCCTGTACATCAGGGATGGCATCAGCATGCACTGTCCACAGGGCGCTCGCTGGGCAGACCTGGACCTCAGTCAGCTGGGTGAGGCAGGCTTTCAACACATTTTAACAACTGTGTGAAAATGATAGTCATGCAAATATCTCTGACGGAGTTAAAATACTGTAATCTGTTTATAATTATTTATTTTATTCGCTATGAGGTGTTGGTATGGCTTTCATGCCATACTGTTGTTATGCAAACTGCAATGTTGTTTCAAATTTTGAGCACTAAAGTAACATATTGACCTTTTCTTGGTGGAATCATGCAGCCTGTAGGGATTCTCATCATGATACATGACTAGCCTAATTCTAGTCTGTTGTTCCTCCACAGGAGATGTCCAGATTGGGTATGTGAGCTGTGGTACAGAGTGTGTCTGGGTCTGTGACACACAGGGAAACATCTACTTCAGACTGGGAGCCAAGCCCCCCTCCACTACCTGCCTTAACCCTGCATGGATCCCTATTGAAGGCAAGCCTCAGGTCAGTGCCTGCAGAAACCTACTGTACAATATACTGAGTGATATGTTCATGTATGTGTTTTATACCTGAGCAGCAATACAGGTTCAGCATATTGTATAATGTGTGTTTTCAACACAGATACCAGTACTGACATATTGACTTTTTAAAAGATAATATCAACCCTCTTGATTATTCAAGTCATGACTATACTTCAGTGGCGTCGTGTGGTGTAGTGGTACATCACTGGACTACGAAGCGGGGGGACCCGGGTTCGATTCCGGGTCGTACCCGAACAAGTCCGAACATGCGCCCCGACGTTGTACCCTTGGGAAAGGTACTTTACACGACTTTCCTCACTTGAGTACCTAGCTTTGGCTAGGGACGTCCCTCGGATAGGACGTAAAATGGAGGTCCCGTGTTTGGGAGAGTCACACCCCACGCACGTTAAAGAACCCACCGCACTTATCGAAAAGAGTAGGGGACCTTCCCGGTGTGAGTGGTTCAAACCTTACAGCCTGGTCTCGGGGTTGACATCTTTGAAAAGGTGGTAGTCACCTGTTATGTCAATCCTTCCACAAATGTGGTAAATCTTCATAAATAAATAAATAAATAAATATACTTTACTGTTGCAGTTGGACAGACAGGTACATGTGCCTTTCCCCACCTGCACACTTCTGCCAGAGAAGGTGAGAAATGCACCTGGTCAGGTGGTGGTGGTGTCACTGGTGGAGGGTCATCAAGTTTTACTGTTTCAATAAAATCTTAACCCTCAGCCTTTTATTTCAAGCTTACTTTGGACACTACTTTGAGGAAGACATGTAATGTTTCTGCATTGTACTTCTAAGCTGCCCTTAACTATTTTCCCTGCTGCTACTGCTGTAACCAGTAAACTTTTGATGCAAAAAGGCGGCCTAAGTAGAGGGAAAGTTAACTAAGCTTTCCACGTTTATCTGCAGGGTCTGGGGACGTACTTCACCCAGGTGGAGTGTGGTCCCTCTGATTGGCTGGTGTGGGCCGTGGACAACAGGAAAAATGTCTACGTCAGGAAGGAAGTTACCAGTCATCTGCCAATTGGCACCTCCTGGGAGCTTGTTCCTGGTACGTTGTTCTTTACACTGTACTGTTGAAGGTCAGCGAATTTGTACAGCAATAATGCAGTTTATCATTTTCTCTGAACCATAGAGAGCTTCTAGCATGGTCAATACAATTGTTGACAGCCCAGAATTCTAGCAGACAGTCTTGACAACACATGATATTTCTGACAAGTATTGGACAACATTTTCATTCCACCAAGACCTGTAAGCTTTGGGAAAAGATCATCACTAGCTGATGTGTTTTTCCACTCCTTTATGATGTGAGGAAGGCTTTTGAGACAGATAAACAATTTGTCAGTTTTTCATTGAGGTATTGGATAATCGTTTTATTTGTGACAGTGTTAATAACTTACATGTATGAATTCCTCTGTTGATGAAAGCTCCTCCATTTTCTGTCTGTTCCACTGCCTACACCCCTCTCCCCAGGCACCCCAGCCCAGCAGCTGTGCATCAGTAACACTGCAGTGTGGGCCCTCTGTCCTAACGGGGACATCGCCTGCAGGTATGGCATCAGCCAGAACAACCCCATGGGAGACTACTGGAAAAAAGTGCCTGGCAACTTTGACTTCATTTCCGGTGGGTAACCAAGTACATGTACAGCCTTATGTGCATGTTGATGTTGTAGTCAGGAACCTCTGTTGTTGCTGCTGCTGCAGTTGAGACCAATAGAAATGATGCCAGGTGTGTTGAGCTGAGGATGGATAGTGGCTTCTTGAATAGATTTTCTTCGTGGGTGGCAAAATCAAATTGCTGACAAAGATGGACTATAGTGACTTGGAGTAGATAGACAAAGTAAGTGCATGTGTCCTCTATGTGTACCAATCCCCTGTGTCCTCTGTTTTCCACAGTCACTCCTGATGATGAGCTGTGGGCCATCAACAAGGACGGCCACATCTACCAGCGCTTCATTAAGGCTGTTCTGAGGCAGCAGGAGGTCCCACAAGGAGCGCAGGCTGGCACTGCAGAGGACATCACTGATGACTGGGAGATGTTGTGACAGCAGACACCGTCCTGCACACCACACAAAAATATACAGATCCGTAGTCCATCTTAATTAGGGAAACTTGTGTGTACATTAAGCTGCTATTACCTTGGTAAGCATTGTATTGTTAAGGTTTAGATAGAAAGTTGAGAATAGTGCAATCAAAGTGGGCAAGAGACAAGAAGCACAATTACATTGTGCCACAGTCTTAAGTTATTTACTCTTGCTCTACATTTTTCATATCTTGTTTGTTGACCCAGAATCTTGTTGCAGGAAAGGAAGAGGATAGCCTTAGAACTGTGAGCTCATGAACAAGCACTTCACTTACAGTATTATGTTCATAACGTCATTCAGTGTTGTACATAGTGATAAATATTGTTGTAATGGATAATCAAACTTTCAAAGCAGATCCCGTCAACTGTTGACTGTCAAATTCCCCATGTGCTGAGGAATGACTAGCACAATCTGAAAACATGCAAGCAGGCATCCATGCAGCTGTAAGTAATATTAGCTTATGCTTTGTGCAATATATGTTATCTCTATAGAAGGATAATAAATGTGCTGCAGTAGGTAGTTTAGCACGAAAATAGTATGTATATAATAATTTGGCAAGAATGCATGTATTACATACTGTGAAGTATTGGTGGATCTCCTAAAAGTGCTTAGTGTGTAAAATGTTGATGTTGCATTCAATGCTGTGGCAATGCAGGTATTAATCAATTTATTGTATTGCAGTATCTTGCCAGATGTTCAATAATGGTTTAAGAGTCCTTGGTGCTCTTAGTTACAGATGTGCTTTGACTATATTGGGGTATTGTTTGCTTAGTTCTCATCCATGAAGCATAGTTTTCCTTCTTACAAGGAATTTTAAGCAGTATTCAATTTGGAGTTCTGTGCTCTATATATTCTAATGTTTTTACCTTGTTTGTATGAATTGCATACATTTCAGTTATGATGATGGGCATCTATGACCAACAAGTATATTTTCTTTACAGCTAATAGAATGACAGTATATAGCTATAAATAAATATCAATGTCAAGTCAAGTCAAGTCAAGTCAAGTTAGGTGTTTAGTAGTGTTAGATTAACAGTAGGTTCTCTTCAGCCATATGTACATGATCATGTAACTGTCCTTTGTTAGGAACTACAAAATGTATGACAGTGAAATTACAAGTACTTACTTCAAGCATCAGTGATCTCTTCAAGCTTGATTGATTGATTGATATCTTTAGTACTGACATCACAGACTCCCAGAAGTACAAATGGAAGATATCCAACTAGAACATTTACAGGGAGGAAAGCTACATTTGTAACACAATGTTTGTTCATAGGGATGAGATACTATTCATGAGGTAGAAGACAAGCACTTGGGACTATTTTCCAATGAGAATGAGAGAGTAGCAGAGACAACAATAACATTGTTCTCTAGTAATTATGAAGATATAAAAACGTCATGCTATACTTTAGATGATTCATCCTCCTGGTTCAGTTTGGCCTTTATTCTTCACAGTTATCGTCCATCTGCCCCCCTACATCGTAGGTTGTCAATAACATAGCTCCTGAAAATACCTGTAACCAAAACATGCGTGTCTCGATCTTTTCTGTCACAATTTTTTTTGCATCCAGTGCACCAGGTAGTGACATGATTGTGTGATTGACATTGCAAATATCCCTTAAAATAGTCAAAGATTTTTACTATTTACATACAGAGTACCAGCAACACTGTGTCAGCACACAATCATATATTCCTATACAAATCACCTTTGTTTCTCCAGCAACATTACATAATGTCAAATGTCCAACTGGCCAGCGGCGTCATGCATACACGAATACTCTACATTCCTTACCCGGCCATTCACCCCGCTGAAACACTAGAGTTGGCCCTCACTCAACCTACATCTGCCAGTACTTTATTTACATTCCACTTTAAACACAAATGTCTGACGTTAAGTGACCAATCTTAAGGTGCGGCATTTGAATTTGCTCCTTCCTCCATATCTTTATTAGAGTTTACAGAACACTCGATGGGATAGTGCATCTGTATGCTGTGTTACATAACTCTGACGCAAAACAAACGGTCAAAATGATATTGCTTTCAACCGAGAAGTAGAAAGTTATAGTTTCTAAAAAACGTTTAGCCACGTTTAGCCAACGTAGACGAAGGCGAATAATTACGAAAACCTTCATCAGTTGTAGATATGACACAGTTGATTTTTCTTACAAAAAATATAAGGTACAGGTAGGTCCAAATTGTATCAAACCTCACAAAAAGAGTGAGAATGTCTAAAAACTGTAGTCGAACCCGAGAATGTGGGACAGGATAAGCATGGGATGCAGTGGAACTTTTTCATGTGTATTATACTTATACTGTACGTTGTTGTGTATGTTTATTTCCCGTCAGCGTTCAACATTTCCCCAGGTACGTAACAGGTGAATACAAAGGGGTGAATTGCCATATATAGTTTTCTGATCACATGATATGCTCTGCGCGTGGTTTAATCAATTAGACTTCAACCTAAGCATAGTCTAGTTTTTATATTTTGCTAACTGCAAAAATAATTAATGAAACGCGTGTCATTTCCACACCACTCAATTGGATCATTCATTGATACGAGTTGCACATTCAAGACCATCCATAAGAAACAACTTATGTGCCATGTACATAACGGATAATGCACGACTCAGGATATGCGTATATAAGGGAAGGTAAAAACGGCGTGAGAACCATTGACAAATCGCGAGCGGATCAAAAAGCTTTATATGCGGGTTCTCCGACGGATCGATGAAAATCAAATGGAGAGCTCTTAATAACCTTACAAGACAGGCGGATATTGATTTGACACTCCCTTCCTTCCTAAGTATCCTCACCCTAGTTTGTCCAGTCATCAAAACGTATAATAATGCCTCTCGTATGCAATCAAATGTGATGTGTATCATATCTAAAACGTAGAGTTTGCACCTGTCTCCTATAAAATTCGTTACTGTTCTCTCTTTATTACCGTGGATTCAGACAGCCTGTGTTGATTCAACCTTCATCAAAACGGATGATGTGGGAAGCACACATAAATATTATGACATGCTGAGAATTTTAGCCGGAATGCTTGGCGCCCCCGTTTGGTCGAATGACGTAGCAGTCACTGGAAAAGGCGTCGGCAGCTGACATGACTGATACATCAGGCTGATGCATCTACGATTGTATTCGCAGTTATGACAGAACATGAGTGGGCGACTCGTCTTTTCTGGAAGCACGTCTAAATTATCTTTGACACGTTTCTTTCAACTGGCACCTTCATGTACAAATTGTCTATCCTAAAAGCTACACGGGAAGTCAATTGAAAACATCTCTCGAGATGAAAATTGCTTTTGCTGCAACACATGGTCGGCGAGAGTTTGGGAGACTGCAGAATAATAAGAGGATTTTACATGATCAGAGTCGACACATATCTGCTCAAAGCACGTTCTAACCTCCTTATTTCTTTCTAAGCGCTACGCCCGGTAACGGAGGTGCCCAAATACACATACTTGTTTTGTGTCAATAAAGTTTTTTTATTACCTCCATGAAATGGAAGGTACTGTTTTTGACCCTCCCGACGACTCTGCGAACTCCGACAGCAGTACGACCGGTGTCCTCTCAATCACTGCACGTTTCTTAAATGTTCGGTCGACGTTCGCAGGTCACTGAGCCCCGTTCAATGTAACAGAGTAGAGTTTCAAAAAGTACGAATCTGACGATTTTGAGCCTGGGCGACCTTCACGGCGACCTGCAATCTCCATGGAAGGTTATTGACAGTGTGAGACCGGATTTACCACAGTGATGGGCGCGATAAGTCTCGGAATATGCTTGAAAAATGGCTTCCTCGTCACAAAGTGTACAGAATGTGAACCTGAAAGCTCCTCTAAACGTCAATGGAAGAAAATCCCTTTCAATCGAAATTGCTTTCTTGGGAATAGGCTTTCCGTGCATGGATGCGAGCGGCCCCGACATCCATGGCGATATAAATTGGCACAGGAAGGTGTTCCAGATGTTACGATAGCTAACACCGGTGCGTACCGGACCGTGCCTTACCAGGGTAATAAGATAACGTCCCACTTTACACTTACTGTTTCCTTTTTTGACGGCGGACGGTAGGGGGCGTAACAGAACCATATAAAGGCGAACAAGCAAAGGCAAATGATAAAGAAAACATAACCCACATATTACAAAGGAAGTATTTATCGGTCGTACATATTAACAGCTCTCGTGCTTTCTTAAAATTGTGTTTTCGGACAAGCCAAAGGTACCTCGGCAGTAGGTAGGTCAGGACCGTCCCACATTATGAATGGATCGGCCACAGGAACAGCAGGAGCGCGCGAACCCAGGCATTAACTATTAACCTTCCGGTAAGTATTTAGGTTGTGGGGTAGAGACGATTAGGGCACGTGTGGCGGACCTGTCCATGTGTCGACGTGATTGGAATCTTCACGTGATCTGAAGAACGCCTCCTTGGTGCGACAACTTACAGGACGTGTTCATCCGTTAGGTCGCCCGGGCCACAGGTGAAGGGTCTGTCTCCGAGTGGAGACGGCCAAACCACGAGTCAACTCTGGGCTCTGTCGATGTGTGGGACGTGATGAAGTGATCTTCTTTCCGTACATCTCGGGGCTCAGTTGAGGATTATTGTTGGTGTGTGCTATTTCACTTTCAGGTTCCGACCGGTCTACGGCACAAGGTCGAGTGTTCTCTTTCTGGACGAGACTGTTGACGGAGTGCTCGCGTGGCGGAAAATTCTTTCATCAAGCAGTGTGGTTCGGCCGCCTGCGCGCACACTCCCAGGCATGGGAGCGAACATGGGATGCTCAAACAGCAAGAAGATGTCGAACGAGCCGGAGTCAGCCAACAGCGGTGACAGCACACCGCCCAAACCTTCCACACCGTCGGCGCTGGACGAAAGGTTGCCACTTTCTCAGAAGCAGAAGTACTTGCTGTTAAAGTCATGGAAAGGAGTTGCCAGACAAATCTCACAGTGCGGCAAAACCATGCTGATAAGGTAAGTACGCAAACATTGTTTATCAAGGTTCGCACATGTCATGACAACATCGGCGCTATGTACTATTGCCGATACAACTCAACTCAAAACAAAGCTGAATTACCTCAACTACAATATATACATCTGCCACTATCAGCCTTTCCGGTTGTCATGCTACCGTAACATTCCTCTTTTCTAGCTGAGTCAGTCAGAAAGAAGTGTTGTCTTCCTGGTGTGATACTTACAGAGAACACACAGGCCTTTAGAATAGCGGGGTTACTATTTGAACCATTGCAGTGGCAGGAGCGCCAGATGCTTCAAAAACACTGCTCAGTTCTATTTACCTTCGCCAAGAAGGTTATGTTTTCAGGGGCGTTCGTGTATGTGTGTGTGTGTGTGTGTGTCTGTCTGTCTGTCTGTCTGTCTGTCTGTAAACACGATAACTTGAGAAGGCCTTGATGGATTGTCTTGATACTTGGTAGGTGGGTAGGTCTTGATGAGACCTCAAAATGATTAGATTTTGGGCCCCCTAGCGGCTTGTTATGGCACTGCAGCTGAACTTCCGGTTTTGATATCTCATGATCTAGACATGCTATGGTGATGAAATTTAGATGGTAGGTAGCTCTTGTGCTGGGAAAGAAGTGACGTGAGTTTAGGCCCCCTAGCGGCTTGCTCTGGAACTGCAGGGATAAATTCTTGAAAATATTCAAAAGGGGATAACTCAAGAACCGGTTGACAGATCGTCGTGATTTTTGGTATGTAGGTAGCTTACGTGATGCTTAACATAGTTATGTGACAATTATGCAAATATGGATGTAATTTGCATAATTTATGGGGAAATTCTATAAATCAGCTGCATTCCATGATAGGACAATTGAAGCTTGTGACATTGGTAATTGACAACGAGAGAAACACAGGAAGATGTTGATTATGTTAATAATGACTTAATTTGCATAATTAATGAGAATATTTTATAATTATGTAATGATAACTGCCTGGAATTTCATACTTGTGGTATTTGAAAGTTAAATTGAGGTGAACATCATTAAACATAATTTATTCAAATCAGGACCTCATTTGCATAATTTTTTAGGAAATGCTAGAATGCATTCTTTGTTAATATAAGACTGTCTTTTGGTTGAGATTATGATATAATGATATAATGAAAATTAGGTTCCTATTTCTTAAATCAGGGGAAATAATCTAATCTAAACTTTGTCAGTCATAAAGATTAACATCATTTGGCGAAGGTATGAGATCGGGGAACTCTAGTTGAATATAAAATCATCAGTGTCTGGGCTGTTGGCTATTCTACGTCATGCTAGGGTGAATTAGCTCCATTTCAACATGCATGATAACTCAATGTTTCACTTGCCATGCGGCATGCGGTTATTCTCAATAGTCTTCATGACTTGAACTTGACAAAAATACACCGATTGAATACAATAGAACTCTAATTTGGAAAATCGATTAACATATCAATATAGGAAACGGGGTCAAAATGCGATCATTTAGTGTATTGGAGATCTAAATTAGTCTTTTCTTGCCTGAATTTGATGTACGCACGTACCATATCAAACTTACTGTAGAATGGAATGAAAAATTACGGCTCGTGATAATCCAGGGGAATGTATATAGGGCTGTCAAGAATTATCTGAGGGCGGCATGTTGGTCTGAGAGCCTAGCTGGAACAAACTAAGACAGATTGTCAGATACCATGCTCACACTCGACCCGGTCTCGCCACAGTCGACGACCGAGGGTTATCGGAACCCGCAGACGTTAGCCGCGTGTGTGTATTTTTGTTCTATCAGACGAAAGAAAGACTGATCACTCACACACTTTAATGGTGTAAACTAACTACAGCCAGGAGAGCCATTAGCGCAATCATAGCGTGTTTCGACCGAGGTGCTCACGCTATTTTTGTACGGTTCGCTTTGGGTCAGAGGTACAACTGCTAATCCCTAGATGAGCGACTGCCGGGGCAGGAGAAGAAAGGGTGACGGACCCATACTTACTCTGATTGAAAGCGGTGAGGTTAATAAGCGATGACATTGTTTTACCCTGACCGCTGTTGTGTGTGTGCAGTTCTTCCAGAATTGAATATGATTATGACGACAGCAACTATATAAAGCCCTCTACTAGTACTAACACATATCATCAAAGTTTATTGATTTCTCTCGGAAAAAAATAGAATTTCTTCAAATCAGCTCCCCTGAATCTGACAAAGTATGTAAGAGAATATAGCAATATGACCCAAGAATTACGTATACCATTTCCCACGGGGCATTTAAATCTGCTCGTAAATTATAGAAAATGTATTCCACACAGCGACACGCTTCTGTACTAATGTACCAATGATTTACTGGTACAGAATAATACAGTATTTCAATTGATATAGTACCTAATATGTACCGTTGACCCTGCACTAGTACTAGTGACACAAGGACTGTACGCAGTGTGTCGTACTGATTATTTAGACATGTGGATCTGTGGATTCTGTCTTCTTATGAGTGGAAATTACACCACAGATCAGCATGCATAACGAATCGTCACTATTGGCGCTATTTCAAGCTGAAGACTCCTGCCTGGAAGATAAACATCAGGCGAGACGTCAAGGTTGGGTGACCTCAACCAGGCAAACACTCAGCGGTTTTCCCAAGGTCGGGCGATTGCTTAGAGAAGACAGAAGTGCCACATTGTTGGTGTGGTTTGGCAGCGACGTCTACTCGAGTGTGCATTTTCTGGATCCTTGAAGCGTGCCTACCGCCCGAGGTTAGTGCGGAAACATCAGGACTTGTTGGGTGCTTCCGGAATGCTGAATGCCACTTGGTTCAGACTTCAGAGAAAAATGCAGAGCTCGCGTGAAAAGTCTTGAATATAATTTTCCTATAATTAACTTAAAAAACCGTAAACGTCCCGCAGTATCACGGCTTGGGTGTCTCAGGTGTCCGGCGGTACGATATTATGGTTACAGTGTGAAAGAAAACTCAGGAAGCAGCCATGCGTTTGGGTTTTAATTAGAACCCCCAAATTCTTGTATATCGTGACCCTCACGCTCCAGTTTTCACCTTTGCCATACTCTGCGTAGTACATACATAGTTAGCGACCATTACATGTTCCAAGTGGGGCAGATGCATCCATTGTACATGTACTCCCGGTACCATGGTGCTGTCCTACTTAAATGCTGCCTCAGGTATTAACTGGCGCGCAACTGTTATAATGGTAACGCCTACGCTGTGAAACGACCCGGTGCTAACTACTCAATTACAGCTCCGTGCCGTAAACAAATCTTTTAACCTCCGAGCAATAAATTCCCTTTCCCATCGCCATAATGCAACAAGGCCAGCTTCATACAGACATCAACGGCGTGTGAAATGCTAGGGCACAGAGATAATATAAGCATCGGAACCAATCGCCTTTGCGAGGAACCATGAGAAGAGTTGAAGTACGCGGCAATCTTCAATTTACTTTCTTCCTGGAAATAGCCTCTTCAAGAAGAACAGGAGTGTTTTGTTGGAAAGCCATTACTGAAGCTCTGAAGGTCAGGGGGTGCAAGCATGCGTGGAGTTGACTGGCAACGGTTCATGTCCTTCAGCGTGGCCGGATGCAACGGTTACTGAATCTCAGCATAATAAAATCAAAACACAAAATTGAAATGAAATAAACATTCATGGGAAATTATTGAATCGCATGTTACTTTTTGTGTCTGAAAAAGTAGGCAATTTAGCCTCCTCAGATTCGTAAGAACATTACAGGTCTGCCATGTACACTGGAGTGTCCGTAGGCTATCATGCTAACGGCAGGGGTCCAGGTGGTGATGTTTTATATGTAGAATTCGTAGTACTTGGAAGTGTGCCATCATCACCATGAATGATAAAGCCCGGTCTTAACTCGGAGTGTCTGAGTAAGTCTGTTTCAAATGACCTGGAAAATAAATGGTGTCAACAGGTGAATGTAAAGTTTAGATTCTCATCAATCACGTGGTGCCCACAGTTTGCCGTCAGTCCCTGATGAACGTTCCTAATCATCAGAGCTGGTTCCGGCACTTCATCATAACTACTGTCACGCATCATCATGACGTGTCCTTGGGGCTAACCGCCATTGCGTGACAAGAGGCAGGGCCCTATAGGTAACACTTAGCACTAAAACCTTCAACTTTGTTCATCCTTGTACCCAAAACTAAACATTAGCAACCAGCACCAAGGGTAAATTTAAATACTCCAAAACGACCAATGATATCGACTATCCGCGTACTGATAGCTCCTGTCCCTGGTGCTGAACACTTCACCCCAACACTATCGGTGGTGCCTGTCCCTGGTGCTGAACACTTCACCCCAACACTATCGGTGGTGCCTGTCCCTGGTGCTGAATACTTCACCCCAGCACTATTGGTGGTGCCTGTCCCTGGTGCTGAATACTTCACCCCAGCACTATTGGTGGCGCCTGTCCCTGGTGCTACACACTACAACACAGTATTATTGGTGGTATCTGTCCTTAGTTCTGAAGACGATAAGCCATCATTACTAGTGGTTCCTGTCCCGCGCATTGACCACTCTAACCAAACACTAATAGTGGTCCTGTCCTTGGTGCTGAACACTACAACGCAACAGTATTGGTGGCCCCTTTTTTGGTTGGTAGGATGATAGATGCTACTTGCCTGGAGAGGGCCACACGGACCTTTTTCCAGGTGTTCCCAGTCATCAATCATACAAATGTGGGCATGACTGCATACTTTCATAACACATCACCGCTGGAGGCGAAAGAATGTGTTGAAGTATGTATCATTAATATACACGTCAGCATGTTTATAGCAGACTGTTATTAATCATTGGTCGTTCTATGTTTGGGTGTTGATGAATAACCAGCCCTTCAGCGGGGATTAGTTACCCATTTCATCACAGGAGTCCGTTATAGGTTAACTTGCATCGAGGAGAATGTCGGCAATCGAGACGACGTCTGTGAAACGCCGTCTCCTTCACGTCCGGTATTAACGACATTAAGTCCACACTCCCGGGGCTGA